AGACGTGTGCTCTTCCGATCTACTTACGTTAATAATATTTTTTTAGAATAATATTTTAAAAATTTTTTGAAAATTTTTGAAAATAATCATTTTTGAAAAATTCTATTAACGTTAGCGAATAGAGGTAATTTTACTGTAAAACTTTTGTATATAACATTTTTTGATATTTTGAACAGTTTTCGAAATATAACGAAAAAAAAGAAAAATGAATTTATATATAAGGGATGGTTTCATCCCGTTTTTGGGCCGCAACTGCTAATTTCTAAATTCATCTATTTAGGTAACCTACATGTATAAAAAGTTTCGTTAAGATCAGAGTTTGACACTTCGCGAGGTTCCCTTGTAAGTATTCGTCACTACTAGTACTAAGTATTCGTCAATACTACTACTAACAATAAGTATTCGTCACTACTAGTACTAAGTATTCGTCAATACTAAGTATTGGACAAAAAGTATTGACCAATTTAGTATTGCTAATACTAAGTATTGAGATCTTAATACTTATTTTTCGTAAGGGTACTGTGGCGTTTATTATCTAATTCTTTTGCTATTGTTATTCAAATAGCGTCGTTTTTAGAAATAATTTTCTGCCCGTCTTCTATTAACCTTTAAACCACTATATCTCACAGACCGCTATGAAAACTTTACTTGTTAATAATATCCTTAATTTTCACAAGCGCGTCGCTCTATACTCCTAGTACCTTCGTACGCCATCTATCCCCACCAAGCACTGCAATGGTCCCATTGTCATTTGTTGGGAATTGTTTAATACGAACCGATTGAAATATTATAGCGGTCCCACAGACCGGTATTAGTGTTAACGTAACTTTTTGCAGTGTTAAGCATGTATGTATTTTTTCATTTTTGTTTTATTTATATATTTTAATTTAAATGTAAATAATAAATTTTTATTTTCTGATGTGTTATTTTATATTTTGAGGTTAGAAAAATTATATTATTTCAAGTTTCTATTATTAGCAATATGGAAACTCAACAACTGCGTCTCAGAAATTATGAAAAATTTCACAAAACAGATTCTGATTCAGATTCAGAAAATATTCTTTCTGATATTTCCGAAGAAGATAAAGATTATGTTCAGGAATCTGAACATAATTCTGCTAGAGAACTAAAATATAATTTATCTGACGCCACAAATGAAACACAAATATTTCCAAAAGAAAAAACTGGCTATTATAGCAAAGAAAGGACTTGCAAATATTTTTAGGATGCAAAAGAACCGAATCGCACTCGGCGAACTCCGAAATCGAATAATATTTTGAAAATTCTTACTTTGACATCGCGTGCTACAAACTTAGGTGATCCACCCGAACCTATTGCAATCTGGCGTTTGTTATTCAATAATAAAATAATACATCAAATTGTTTTTTACACTAACGCAAAACTGCAAGAAAAACGTCAAATGTTACATCTCTATACATGGATACTTCCATAAAAGAAATTGAAGCCATTCTTGGTATTGATATTATCTGCAATTTTTGGTTCAGCACACGAGAAATTAATGTCACTATTTGCGAATGATTATTTTGGACGGCCTATTTTTCATGCGACTATGTCTAAAAATCGGTTTAAGGTATTGATAAGCTGTATGCGATTTGATGATTCTAAAACTCAATCGGCAAAAAAAGCAGTTGATCCTACAGCTCCTATAGCAGATATTTTTCAACTTTTTATAACAAATTGCCAAAGCGTATATAATGTAGCAGCTTATGCTTGCGTAGATGAAATGTTAGTTGCATTTCGAGGCAGGTGCTCGTTCAAAATGTATTTGCCAAACAAGCCTGCCAAGTATGGGATAAAAATTATGTGTCTTACTGACACTAGAACCTCTTAATGCATTCATTTATTCGGGAAAAGATAGTGATTCACTAAGAATGTCTGCCGAAGAAAAAAATTTTTTAAACCTACGCAATCTGTACTACGTCTTTGCAAACCTGAGGTGACGGAACAGCGCTCTCTCAATGATCTCCTTGCTAACTTCGGAAGCTCTCTGGACCGAGAGCTGCGCGCGCACTCGAGTCAATCTCTCCCGCTCGTCTCGCTCCCGCGTATCTCGTACAACACATATTGTTCTTAACCATTCGTATATTTAACAGAATAAATATTCATTAAGGCATTCTCGCTGTTAATTAGTTAACAACTTCCAACAGTACGTCGAGAATACTTCAGTGGCGACGAGGATTTGTGAATTCAGGATATTACGCGTGGAAAAGTAGAATAACCTCAAAAATGGAAAAATTGTTCGAGAAATTTCTTGAGATGCAAATGGTGCGTGATGAAGAGCTTCGTCAATTTCAGCAGCAACAAGCGAACTTGATTCGTCTTCTCATAGAACGTCAACTTCCAGCGCCTGATCAGAATGGTGTGCTTTACAACGCTCAGAGCTCTGCGGATCAGAAAGCGAAAAATCTTGCCGAGTCCATGGTTGCTTTCAACTACGATCCGGAGAATAATCTGACATTTGAAGCATGGATTGACCGTTATGAGACAGTCTTTAACACAGACACTGCCGATTGGCAGGATTCAGCAAAAATCCGACTGATGTTGCAAAAGTTTGCCCAGCCGGACTACCAGCGCTTTGCTGACTCACTCCTGCCTCAGAACCCGACAGATCTCACGATGGAGGAGGCAATCAAGCGATTGAAGCGGATGTTTGGCCATCGCGAAACGAAGTTCTCTTTGCGTCACAAATGTTTCGGCCTCAAAAAGGAGAGCTCTGAAGGATACCGTGAGTACGCAGCTCGCATTAATAAACACGGCGAAAAGTTCGAAACGTCACGAACTGCACTGCTGATGACTTCAAAGTGCTGCTTTTCGTCAGCGGTCTCAAGGACTCGCTCATCTTAGAGAAACTCCTCACAAAGGTTGACGCACAGCACATTCAACTTGAGGCAGCAGCCGATGATGCTGCTCGAGCCCTTATTCCAAAACTCAAGCTTGATGATCTGGTAAACAAAGCGGAACGGTTGACAAGTCTCAAACAAGATAAATCGGAAGTTTGTGAAACTGCGAAGTCATCAATTACCGGTGAAGTTTTGTCCGTCAAGAACTTTAGGAGAAGCAAAAAGAAGGCTTCATCGCCCAACGACTCTAAGCCTGCTTCAAAGCCTCCAAGGCCATGTTTTTGCTGCGGTGAAGACCATTGGGCTCGCGAGTGCCCACACAAGGACAAGGTTTGCGACAGATGCAAGATTCTGGGTCACAAGACTGGATTCTGCGCAGAGTACTTCAAGTACCAGTGCAAGAGGTTTAATAAGAAAGCTGTCGAAGAGCTTCAATCTAACGTCAAACAAGTAACAACAGCAACGGCAACGAATCAGCGGAAGTTTGTTGCTCCTCGTATCAATGGCTCAAAAATTCGACTCCAGCTGGACACGGCGTCAGATTACACATTCATTTCATATGGAAACTGGTGCAAGCTCGGCAAACCTAAGCTCAACACCAGCGGAATCAATGGAAGCGCTTCCGGACATCCGATTGAGCTCTGGGGCTCGTTCAAGTATGAAATGCATCTCAACAACAAGGTTGAGGACGGTGTCGTCCACGTGACTGCCCGGTTGAACCTGCTCGGAATCGATTGGATCGGCAAGATGGGTATCTGGGATGTTCCAATCTCAACTGTGTGTAACAAGATTTCGATGGACACCTTGCCGAATAGTCTCACCGCTGAGGTCGAAAGGAAGTTCCCCCAACTATTCTCTGATGGACTTGGCTTGTGTACAAAAACGAAAGTTTCACTGACATTGAAGCCTAATGCCAAGAAGATTTTTCGCAAAGCTCGACCGGTCCCATTTGCAGCAGCAGCTGCCATCGAAGAAGAAATTAAACGCCAGCAGCATTTGGGAGTCTTTACTCCAATCAGCTACTCGGAGTTTGCAGCACCAATCGTCGCAGTCAAAAGGAAGAATGGCAAAACACGAATCTGTGGCAACTATTCAACAGGTCTCAATGACGTGCTCGAGCCGAATAAGTCACCTTTTGCAACTCCGGAACAAATTTTTGCAAGTCTGACGGGCAAGCGCATATTAAGCAAGATTGATCTTTCGGATGCCTTCCTTCAGCTGGAACTCGATGATGATGCCAAAAAGTTGCTAGTCGTCAATACGCACGTTGGGTTATTCCAAGTGAACCGCATGCAGTCAGGAATTAAGACTGCACCGTTTTCCAAGAACTAATGACAAGAATGCTCAGCGGTGTGGACGGCGCTCTTGCCTACATGGATGACATAATCGTCGGTGGAATCAACGAAAAAGAGCATAAAAAGATTCTTTTTGAAGTTCTCACACGAATTCAAGACTATGGCTTCAAATTAAGAATTGGCAAATGTGAATTCGGCAAGACAGAAATTTCGTTTTGCGGTCACATCGTCAGAGCTGACGGAATTCGTCCGGACCCAGCAAAGATTTAGTCAATCGGCAGCATACCTCGGCCTCAAGACGTCAGTCAGCTTCGCGCATTCCTTGGAGCAGCGAATTACTACGGGAAATTCGTCGAGAACATTCAAAATCTGCGAGGACCATTGGACGAGCTGACGCAGAAAGACAGCAAATTTGAATGGATCGAAAAACACGAACGTGCGTTCGAGAATCTCAAGAGAGTATTGTCATCAGATCTTGTCCTCACTCACTTCGACCCGAAGAAGAAGATTGTAGTGGCTGCTGACGCCTCAAGCTATGGCATGGGAGGAGCGCTGATGCACGAGTTTCCTGACGGCACGCTTCGTCCTGTGATGCATTTCTCGACCTCGTTCAACGCTGCAGAAAAGAATTACTCGCAGATCCAACGAGAGGCTGCTGCGATAGTATTCGTCGTTAAGCGTTTTCACAAGTACATTTATGGTCGACGATTTACTCTCCTAACTGATCACAAGCCGCTGATCTCAATCTTTGGATCAAAAGAAGGCATTCCAACGTATACTGCAAGTCGTCTGCAGCGCTATGCTTTAACCTTGCTCGTCTATGACTTTGACATTAAATATGTCAACACTGACAGTTTTGGCTATGCTGACGTTGTGTCGAGACTCATCGCTCAACAACCTAAAGAAGACGAAGATGTTATCATTGCTGCAGTTCATGACACAAAGGATCAATGCTTTGCCATCGATTCAGCGAAGACTCTCCCAATCAAATTTGAAGATATTCGAAACGCTTCTCGTCAGTGTCCAACACTTATCAGAATTGTGCAATTTATCAAGGAGGGCTGGCCACAGAAAAGTCGGCAGATTCGAGACCCAGAAGTCGCAAAATTTTTTAATCAGAGAAACCAGCTCGACATCATTCAGAGCTGCATTTTCTGGGGCAAGCGTCTTATCGTTCCTGTTCAATTCCGAAATCAAGTCTTACAAGAACTTCATCATGGTCACCCAGGACTCGTTCGTATGAAGCTGCTTGCTCGAAGCAAAGTTTATTGGCCTACCATCAATGATGACATCGAGCGAACTGTCAAGACATGTGATAACTGTGCCAAAGTGACGAGGTCACCAGTCAAATGCACCCTGCAATCTTGGCCCGTTCCAACAGCGGCTTGGTCTCGAGTTCATGCAGACTACGCGGGCCCAATCAATGGCGTCTGGTATCTAGTAATTGTCGATGCTTTTAGCAACTGGCCTGAAATCTTCAGTACGTCATCGACAGCTTCTTCCAAAACAATCGAAATGTTCGAGAAGGCCATCACTCAGCACGGCCTTTTTGACACATTGGTTACCGACAACGGCCCTCAATTTGTTTCGCAAGAATTCAAGAATTTCTGCGCAGCCAACGGCATCGAACATATCACGTCAGCGCCTTACCATCCCCAGTCGAATGGTAAGGCTGAGAAGTTCGTGGATTTGCTCAAAACAGGACTCGCCAAAGCCGGGGGAAACGCTGAGGAAAAGCTTCGCGAATTTCTCCTGACTTACCGCTTCACGTCTTCGTATAATCTCGGAAATAAGTCTCCATCAGAGCTTATGAACGGTCGCATCATGAAGACTCGTATTGACTTGATGAAGCCTCCCAGAGAAGTTTCTGCTTTACGCAATACTTCTATGGAACAGCAATTCAACAAGGCCCACGGTGCCCGTCGGAAGCAGTTCGACATTGGCTCAAAGGTGTTCTATCAGTTGCACAAGTCGAATGAAGTGTGGTCTTGGGTTCCGGGAGTCGTACGGGGGCGTATCGGTGAGGTCAACTACGAGGTTCAGCTCAACAATGGCAGAATCATCGCAAAAGCGCAAATCAACTTAAATTGCGATTTGCACCGAACGAAATTATCGACACGTTCGGTCTTACTGATGTCGAACATGGAAATCAAGCCGATCATCAGAAGCCGATCCGCAGGATCAGCAAAACGAGGAGAATCAAGATGTTTCAATCGATAAATCAGCCGATTCTGATGCCTTCGAAGATGCCTTGGACGATGAACAGCCTCAACCTGTTCCGGTTCAGCAGGAGCTACGACGTTCAACGCGCACGAATTTCGGAGTTCCACCTAATCGTCTGAGATACGATTCGACTTAAGGGGGAGAAATGAGGCGACGGAACAGCGCCCCCTCGATGATCTCCCTACTGACTTCGGAAGCTCTCTGGACCGAGAGCTGTGCGCGCACTCGAGTCAGTCTCTCCCGCTCGTCTCGCTCCCGCGTATCTCGTACAACACATATTGTTCTTAACCATTCGTATATTTAACAGAATAAATATTCATTAAGGCATTCTCGCTGTTAATCAGTTAACAACTTCCAACAGTACGTCGAGAATACTTCAAAACCATTATATAAATCAAATAGAAACATAACTGCAGATAATTGGTTTACTTCCATAGAGTTATTAAAAAAGCTTACAAAAAATGGTCTGACATATGTTGGCACAATGACAAAAAATAAGAAAGAGATACCTTCAAGTATCATCAAGTTTCTTCTTTCTTTCTTCTAAAGAAAGCAGAATGCACTCTTTTCTTTCAGGATATTCAAATGACGGTATATTACTTTCTTACGTGCCAAAGAAAAACAAATCTGTGATTTTACTTTTATCTATGCACAAAACTGTTAATGTTGAAAGTAATAGTTTGCCAGAGATTATATCATTTTATAATTTAACGAAAGAGGGAGTGGATTCTCTAGATCTCAAATGTGCAATTTACTGTTCAAGTCGTCAAACAAGGCGTTGGCCTGTGGCTGTGTTTTATAGACTGTTAGATATAAGTATAATAAATACTTACATTTCTTTATCAAAATTATAAAAATACTACGAAAATATCTCGACACGATTTTATTACAAAAAATTAGCGATTAGCCTGATTATACCTATGTTAAAAAAACCATATAAAATACCAAATTTGCCCAATAAAGACGATGATAAAAGGTATTTTAATGTCAGTAAGTGAATTGCAGACACATAATATATCAACTGATGTTCTTGAAAAACGACAAACGTGCACGTTATGCAATTATAAAATAAAGTGTAAAATCGCATATAAATGCGCTAAGTGCGAGGTACCAGTTTGCTTACAATGCTCGCGGAAGGTGTGCATACACTGTTTAACTGGTACACCGACAGTTTCTGAACATTCAGACAGTTCTTTTTAAATATAATTACATAAAATTTATTTAAAATTTTGTTTTTAATTTTGTTTTTAATTTTGAGTTTCAACTTTAAGTTTAATAAGTTTATAAATATAATTTATAATATGGTTGATATCATTTAAATACATTTTATTTCTTTTATATATGAGATTTTTTGTTAATCTTCACATTAAAATATATTTTTCCTTTTTCCCATCAATAAGCATTCAGAAAACATATATTTTTTATTATGATTAAATTATAAAATTAACGGAAGCATAATAGCGGTTTGTCAGACCGACATAGTGGTTAGTGTAATTTTTTGGGATATGGTGGTTTAAAGGTTAAACAATCTTTATACTTAATAAGTGTGTCGATTAGGATATCCTTATCTATTTTTCCTGGTCTTCCACGTGCAGGCATGTTGATAATTGATTTTACTGTTACACAATACTTAACATTATTATCACAATATATTTTGAAAAATAAAAAGTAAATAAAAAAATTGAAAAAAAAAACAGAAACAATGAACACAGAAATTACAAAGTTTACTAAACGATAGGAAACGCGAATAAACCTTATGAACAACGCACAATGACTACCGAGCCACAACGTAAAAATACGCACACAAAGTCATTGCTTGGTGCAGCCCATATATATGAGCATTATCTATGTATGCGTTATCTCTTCTAACCTCGCCGCTGCGCAATTCATATAAAAAAAATCAAAACGAATTTCATCGAATCTGTCATGTGACCATGTATCCTAAAGTGGTGTATGGACAGACAGTGCTGATTCAAATGTTATAAATTTATTTTTTCTTTATGTACTTATAAATGTTAATGAATATAACGAAAGCGTTATATTCGTTAACATTTTTGAATATATATTTTTCTCACATCCGTATTTGTACTAGTATAGATTATTGCACCTGTATATATTTATATATAATAAAATAAAATAAATAAAAATATAAATTACTCATCTTTTCAACATATTTATATGTTGTGTAAAATACTTTAACATCAAATGCATACTAGCTATTAGCTCTATAAAGTTTGGACAAGGGAATTTAGAGCTCGAGGCGCGGTCGGCCGGGATAAATTATTTATTTTCGACTTGTTACAGTTAGCAACAAAATCTGAAATCAACTTTTTTCGAGAGTACAATGCTTGCAGATCATTTATATATAAATCTCATGCGAACAACAAAATCTGGAAGGATCGGGCAAGAGAAGTTAGAGCGCGCGGCGCGGTCGGCCGGAATAAACTATTTAATTTTAATACGTTACAGTTAGCAACAAAATCGGAAATCGACTTTTTTCGATAGTACGATGCTTGCAGATCATTTTTATATCAAACTCAGTTGGAGCAACTAATTCTGTTGATGTCAGTGTTCGAATACAGCGGTGCAGTGCTGAGTGCATATAATGGTTTTTTTTAAGTGTTATTTTTTGTAATGTTTTAGCACTATCTTGAAGCAACAAAAAAGCAACAAAATCTGGTGTATTGGTTTTCTTGATAGGACCACTTTACATATTTTTTTCTGGTATAGGGGGTTCAGCTTGCTATTAAGCTAGCCCCCCCCCCATTTTTTACGCGATTTCCTGCTAAACGGCTGGAGCAACAAAATTCGGATTAGAGCAACTAATTAACAACAAAACAGCACTAAATTTTTAACTAGATCCGAACTTAATTTGCAATGGTGGGGGGTCCAGCTTAATAGGGGTGGGAAAGTTCCCGGTTTATATAGAAAATCTCAAGGGATGTGAGATGTCTCGAGTTGAAAGAGTTAAGGTCTGATTGGCAAGATGTTATGGATGATGCTATCTCTGATTTGTTAACCTTCATTTAATCTAGTTCGAGGTAATTCACTCTGCTCGTCTTACATTGTTAAGTTTTACAGCTATTGGTTGGAGGTACTACAGATTTCATCGAAATCTAACCAAAAATCGCTACCCTCACCATTACAATTTTTGGTTAGATTGGTCATCCATTGAGGGTTTGTTCTAGCGCGATGCCGGAGTTTGGGGATTCCTACTTCCGCTTGACAAAAGCACTGTTTTCTGGGTTAGTCATCGATTTCTCATTTTATTAAGTGACCTTGAAATCTTGAATCTCGGTTCAGGGTTAATAGTTGAAAACAGATAAATCACCTTTTTACTGAGGAGGTAATTCTCTCCTCTTACGGAATTTCGGAAATCTAGAGCATGTTCGAAATTAAATTTTATTACATCCTTTTGTGCCAGTTTGAATCATTGTTCTTGGCTGAAGGCCAAGTTTTACAGTTCCGCTGCGACTTCAGCCCCGGCATGTCTAGACAATATTTATTTTTTCCTATTTTGGAAAATATGGATCTCTGGCACATTTTAAAGGGTTTTACTGCCGTAGACGAGATATATGCAATGCAAAAAGAAAATTTTATCTGTTTTTGAAATCCCAGTTAGAAAATTTTCTTTTGCACATACTTATAATATTGTAATAAACTTGTAATAAATTTGTAATAAATCTTCCCAAGGAGACTGACAATGGTCGATCTCGTTGGGTCAATGCTTGTCCACCAATTGATGACCAATAAACTTTATCTTATTCTAAGCCCTTTATTTGAGCGAACGTTCGCGAACGGAGAAATTGTGTAGTTCCCCGATCGTAACACCCCCCGCCTTAGACAAATGTTGGGGGTACAAGACACAACATTTGCTTGTAATTACGAAGTAAACGACGATTTCTTCGTTCGCCGATCGATGAGTTTATTGGCGGCAATCCTAGGATGATTTACGGCCGGATTTTCGGTATGGCGCACATCCTTGGTTTAGAGGAAAGTAAAAAGAAGTGAGAAAAAGACAAAGAGACGAAGGAAATAAAATTTCTGAGACTTTCTTTCTTTGTTTCTTCGTCTTTCTTACTTAGAAATTTCTTAAAATCTAAGAGGAGTATTAAATCTACTTATACATATGATTCGTACGCATGTGTATGTTTAATTTATCAGTTAAAAATTTTATCCGTCCTTTAGAATGATAATTCTATTTGCAACGCATGCGTATGTGTGAAAATCTAACGCCATAAGTCTCGATTTTTCTACGTCTTCTCTTCCTTTCCGAACGCTGGGCATCTTTAGTGCGAGAGAGAGAAAAGAAATGAAAATAGAAAGGGTTAGTAACACTCCCTTAGCGTCAAATCACATGAAAGTTCTCAAGTACAAAACCCCCATTTTTTGTTACCATTTTTTGCTTACAAGGGAACACACGGAAGTGTCCCCCTTCGATTTCAATAAGCTTTGGATATGTTAAACTACAAACAAAAATAAGATACTACAATTTTTACATTCGTGCTGAGTCGCACGTTAAGGGGGTGAAACATCCCTTAGAAAAAAAATCGGTTTTTTTTTCAATGTGAATATCATCGAAACTACGAGAGACAGAAAAAAATATTCTGCATAAAAGTTGAATGGCTTTAAGAGTACTTTATAATTATAATTTAAAATAATTTTTTTATTGTTTATTTTTTTGTTTACCTCCACTACCCAATATTTTGTTTTAATTTTTCAAAATTTTTTTTTTTAAATTAAAGGGCATTTTAAGACAAATTCAACTATGTGTGATAAAGTAATTTTCCTAAGTATCATTTTCGAGAAATAATAATTATAAACGCCTCTGTACACCATCCGTACTCGTTTATGCGCTAATTTATTTACATGAACTTTGTACCCGACTTTTACTAAAACTAGAACAAAACAGCGCGCGCTTCGCGCGCGCCATTTATTCACTATCGTTGAAACATGATACACATACATACAACAAACATTTAATATTAGTATTATATTACTTTTATAATATATGGGACATTTTTAACAT